CTATACTGATATCCTCTGCATAGTGATGTGAGTCCAGAATATTCCCATGCGAATATTCGGGAACATTGGGAAATTTCCGAGAATATTCGCCGATAAAAAATGGAAACGTTCTCCTGAATAAGAATATTCCCGGAAACTTTCAATCAAAAATTCTCAAAAGAATATTTCCGAGAACTTTCGAGAATATTTCCGAGAACTTTTGAGAATATTTCCAAGAACTTTCCAGAAGAATTTTATAAAAATGTAAGATTATTGCGAATACAAGGTCTCAGTGACGTCAGTTCAATTTATGTGGATGACGTAGCCCAGTCTAACTGTCTTTACGGAAACGCTGATTCGATTTACCCAATCATCTCATGTTTGCACAAGCCACTGCAAAGCTTCTTAAGTAATATAATTTGAACTTCTTATTTTAAAGCTCATTTATTAAATTTTGTACGTTAGGAGGGTTTCAGGTACCTCCTGGGTTTTTTTTACCCGTATTTAGGAAAGGACCACACTCAAATATAACATACATGACTTATGGACTCATTGAAGGAATCGCAATTAAATGTCGGGGTGCATCTTTGCACTCCATCAGAGGCAAAGGTGGGTTTGGGTGGTGGGACCCTCCTTCAGTTCTTCTTCTTCTTACCCGATCATCAGCTGATGTAGGTACCTACAGTTTGTCTTTTTTCAAAATAATCTTCATTGAAAAAAGATAAAAAATAAAGAGCTGAGAAATTTGGTTAATCGGATCAGCTTTTTTTTTTTAAAGCCTTATTCAACCGTCCATAAAAGTGTTTTTACTACATAGTTTAATTTTTAGCTGATCTTACAGAAAAAAATAGGTGTTTTTCTTGGTTTATAGTCTATATAGTCAGTACACTACAATGATGATACAATGGTACTACGATTTGTCTGATTTAGCCATAAATTTTTAAAAAATACAATATTTCCATAAGTTCTCGAAAGTTTCCAATATTCCCGGAAAGTTTCCGAGAATGTTCGCGGCTTTTGAATGTTTCGGGAATTTTACATCACTACCTCTGCATATTGAAGAATTTCCAGTTCAAATTTTCTTTTTATTTTAAAGACTCTCCAAGGAGTGGAGGAACCATCCAGTTCATAAAAATCTTCGGTCATATCTGCTGTAGGACATGTTGATTTCACATTTGGTGAAGTATTTGAATTACTTTCTGAGGTATTTCAAATACCTTTCATTTTCTGGGGTATTTGAAATATTTTAAGTATTTTGAGTAAAAATGTCCAGTATTAGAATTACTTTTTTTGTAAATCCAAGTACCAAATACAAATACTTTATTTAAAGTAATTGCAAGTACAAATATTCAAAAACAAAAGTATTTGAATTATAGTAGGTACTTCAAATACTAAAAAGTAATTGAAATACATTTTCCAAGTAATTTACTTGAAGTACTGACAACTCTGGACGACTTACGTACCTCAGGGTTACTTTGGTGCAGCCAAGTTTTTCAATGTCTGATAAACTGCCGCTCCTGCTAGAGTAATAAACATAGATACTTTCATATTATATTTTACCGTATTGACTCTAAACATTTGTTCCATTCGTTCCAGGTATGTTTCAAATTCTTTTGTCTTGCCATTGAAGACTTCAATATTTCCTATCGAAGCCATCACACAAAAAGGCTCACGGAAGTCACAAAAACTTGAAGTCTTCGCCAAATTGTTATGTTTCTATATAACGATTTGAAACACGTGGGTACTGATTGAAAAATCTATAATTTAAGCTTCAGAAATTGATCTATTCTCTAGTTTCTGTGACGCACACTGACACAAATGATTACCGATATTGCGAAATTATTAAAAACATATACGGAAACGCAACAACCACCGTAAATCTTCACTCCACAACCAAAAAAATTAAAATCAAAAGAGGAATTCGACAGGGTGACACTATGTTACCCAAGCTGTTCATCACAATTCTCGAACATGCTTCCAAGAAATTGCTTTGGGTGCGAAAAGGAATATTCATCAATGGGGCAGTGGCGGCTCGTGGTATCCAAGTAAGGGTGGGCGACAAAAATAAAAAACAGCCGTTGGCAATTTTTTTTTAGATTTTTAAGGTCGTGGCCTTTTCAAATATTGTATTAAAAGTATTTTTTATTTTTCCATTTTTTCTCCAGGGTAGCGGCGCCCACCTTGCCCATATGGGCAAACCGCCACTGCAATGGGGAAAGTCTTAATAATCTTCGCTTTGCAGATGATGATGATATTGTCCTAATATCAGTTTGGGTGAAGCTAAAGAAATGCTCCACTTCAAAATTCCACGCAAGAAGGTGCCTGAAGATGAACTTCTCCGAAACCAAATGGGTGACTAATCTGGTTCCCAGTGAGCAAAAATTTATTAGAGCTCTAAAGTGTTCTGTAGCATTCTAAAATGGTTTTCAGTAACTCCGAATAAATGACAAACGAATTCTGTTGGTAATTTCTGTAGACATCTTAAAGACGTCCCTGAGATATCCAGAAACGACATTCAAGACTCACGTCTTTACGGCGCCTTATATACATCTCAAAGACATATGTTACAAAACCCAACGTTTTTCATACGACTGCCCAAAGACGTCTTTAGGACTACTAAGACATTCTAAAGACGCTTTCAACGAGATGTCTTTTAAAGACATTTTTTAATCTCTTTTAAATACATAAACCATTATTCACTTTTAGGCCTGGTTATACCAAATATTTGTCTTCTAGATGAGAATTTACGACACCTCATGGACATCTTCAAACTAAGTTCAAAGCAACGTCTTTTTTTGGTCTTCAGACGTAATGCAGACGTAAAAAAGACGTCTTTGAGACTTTGTGTGCTGTCTTGGTAACCACTTTTACATTGCATTGCACTTTTACTTTTACATTGCATCCAATCTATACGCGCGTTCTGATTTCTTGATGTAAGTAGGTATTTTTCAGAAGCTTCCAAAGGTGATTTATTAGGAATTTATCAAGTATTTTTAGTATCTCAATTTAAACTCTAGCATTATCCTCAAAATCTATAAATGCTTCATTCATAAATCATTAGACTTTCAGATCTTCAGACACCTGAGAGTTGTTAAAATATCGGTCTTTAAAATGTGTTAAATTTTAGGCGTCAAATCTCTAGTCTTTAGAATTATTAAAGCCGCATGATTCAGCGTCTTTTAAATCTGTAGAGTCTTCAATGTCTGTTTAATTATTGGAGTTATTGTATCTTTAAAAAACATTCTATAGTTTCAAATATGCACTTTGAAAGTTTGTTAAAGTTATCACTCCTAAGTGTTTCAGTCTTCAATGATGAGCCTCATAAAAGTCTTTAAATTGTATCGATTCTTCGAAAAAAAAGTTTTCAGTCTTTAAAATCCGTTTAATTTTGCAAGTCTTCAGTGTTGAATTCTTTAGTATTCCATTCCTTAATTTAAATTAAACATTGTTTAAAAGAGCATTACATTATTTATTGTACTGAGCTGAATATTGGTTTCGGTAGCTAGCTTTTATAGGCCAGGCAACATAGGGGTTGTAGACGAATTAATTCTCGGAAAGCTAGAAATGGTTTTAATCTTTCCATTTACGTGTAAAAAGAGTTTTTTAAAGTTTGCACATATTTTCTGCCTGTGCTTTATACGGGGTGTCCCAAAAACCTGGACATTTGCTGACTTTTCTCAGTTTTTCACTTATAACTCGTAAACGATGCATTTCTAGGAAATGTTTACTCTTTTATAAATTGAAATAAACAAAGTTTTGCTTCGAATGAGTACCAGAATATACTCCCTCAACTATGTCTCAAGTCGTTAGGAAAATATGCAAAATCAAACAGCGACGATATTTTCCATTAAAAAAAATGGGTTTTTTAGTTTTTCGCAATTTTATCTAAATGTTATACAAATGAAATAAAAGTTTTTACCATTTGGATATCGTTTAGTATTATACCGTGTATCGGATCGTAATTTGTGAACAGAGGTTAACAAAAAATAAATGACAAATACAAAATTATATAAATATAACGTTGACTGAATTTGCTGCGGTTGGGAGTAGAAAATAGAAGCTGGCGGAAGCAATTGGTCCAATTTAAGGTCATCGTTATCCAGAAGGTCTTCCAATATATACGTCATATTCGGTCAGGTAACAATATATTCCTTAAGAAAACTTTCAATTTTGATTTTTCTAAATTTTCAAATTTTTGATTTTATACCAATCAAAAAACGGGGTCAAATTTAGTAGAAAAGTATTTTCGTGATTTTGATGTTTTCTATGGTTTTTAGGGCCTATTTAAAATTAAAAATGAGTTTTCCATTTTTTGCCCTGAAAAATTTGGATCATCCATTATTATTTTACAAATTCTAATGCATATTTGTATAGGTTTTCTCAATCAGAATTGAATGCTCTTTGAGCAAAGGCGTATCCAGGAGGGGTGCTAGCGAGCCAGCCCCCCCCCCAGGCCGCCCCTCTAAAACTGTATTTTTTACGTTTAAAAAATGTAACAACATCAAGGCATGGCATCCTGACACCTAAATTTTTTTTTTTAGATTTTCAGTCACAACTTACAACCTATGTAGGGCCCCCCAAACATATTTTCTGGGTGCGCTACTTCATCTCAAACAGATTTTAAGATGTTGTTGAAGCTCAACTCAAGTTGAAACTTTGTTTCAAATTTTTTGAAAAACCTTCAACGCCGATTATCTCAAAAACGAAGCCCTGGGGCTCGGTATCGCAATTATCTCTTTTGAAGCCCTAATCGAGATCTACAATTGGATAATTTCGTAGGTACCGATAGCTGAGCTTTTCTGACTTCCAAAATATAGCTCTTTAAAATATTTGAAAATGAAATTTCCTTGCATACCCTTAAAAAAAAATTCAATTTGGATATTTTTTTTCTTTATTTCCATCTTTTGAATATTTCCTTTAAACGAAAAAACAAATCAATTTCGTTTTATCAACATCGAGAAAATAACTTCGCTTTGGCAACGCAGCAACCGGCACATTTTTATTCATATTCGGTATAGCCGGTCCTCAGCAGCCCAAGACCAGACAGAAATTCAGTCGTTTTTCCTTTGCACTGTCGCGCTCTTGGTGATTCCTGCGAAATACCGCACACACGCGACAAATTTCGCGAATTCGCTGCAATTCTCTCTTTTTTATTTCTTCTCTTTAAATAATGCCTCTCGAAAGCGAAACAGTTACCGGTAATCCGGACGCACCTCAACAAAACTCAGAACAGGAACTGGTTCAGGTTAGTGATAACGATAGTCAAGCTTTGGTGCAAGAAGATGCTTGCGTTTTCAAAAGCAAAACCGTAGAAGAGGAGGAAATTGTTTGCCCGTTGAAACTAGCTAAAAGTCCAGTAGCAGAAGCAACAGAAGATTTTTTGGTAAACGAAATAAAATCATATGTTGAAGTTGAAACTAATGTTAATGCAGCTAGCATTGAGTCTCCTGTTTCACCAAGCACACCTGCTAATTCAGACGTAGAAGAAAGTGTAATCGAACCTGAACCCCCACAAATAGTCGATGTGTCTTATAATGAAAAAGAAAATGTCCCTGATGAAGTTATTATTATTGAGAAATTAAATGGACACCATATTGAAGAATCAGTACCATTAGCAGCAGAAGAAGAACCAACACCAATATTAGCAGTAGTAGAACCAGAACCAGAAATTAAATTAACAAATGGCAACAATCAAGCAGAAAACTTCAACGGTGAATGTAAGTTTGAGCCGAAAAAAGTTGAGGAACCATCGGAAGTTGTGGAAGAATCTGAAGTGCTGAAAAACGGATACGAGAAACCGGCGTTGAACGGTACCATTGCCAGTGAGTTGCCCGACTACAAACTTCCCGATGTGGTTGAAGTTAAGAAAAATTTCGAATTTGTTGCGCCGGCCGGAAATAATCGTGGACATGTACAGCCTAAAAAGGTAAGAATTTTTATATATACATACTTAATAGTATCAAAAAAATAAGTTATTGTTCTTTAAATGTAAAGTGAAACATGTCACTTTTCTTAATTTTTGTGGGCAAAAATATCTCAATTCTACTTAAAGGTTTATTGTCAAAAATAATTTGATATTTTTTAAATCACCTACTATCGTCTAGGTACTTCTACATAATTGAACAAACTGCTTTGTGGGTTTCCAAAATTCAAAAAAGTGTACTTGGCTGTTTTTAAGAAGCATTTTAGATCATAAGTTCACCTCCTTTCCCGAGTGGAACTGTATTTTTGGTAATTTTTTAATGATGCTTTATGAAAATTTTAAATCCCTATTATTTTATAGCCAATCAAAGGACTTTATTTTGAAACATTTCTATTACAACTAGAAAAATTTCCAGACATTTTCTCAGGATCCATTTTTGTGAGAAAATGAAGTTTAAAGTTTTTGTGAAAATTTGTTAAATCTCAACTTTGAAGCTCAATATCTCAGAAGTTTTTAGAGCTACCAAAACCAATTGAGCACAGTTAAATAAAAAATTTAATGCTTTTTTAAACAATGTATAATTTGAAACAATTTGCGTGAATATTAATTCAAAAAAATGAGCAACTGAATAAATATCAATAATTTTGGAAACAAAATAAAAAAATGCATCTCATATTTTGAAACTTTTCTGAAAAAATACGGAATGGAAATTTTTGAAACTTCTGGGATAAAAAGAGGAAAGTTAGGACTTCATCATATTAAAATTTCAAATTGATTCAGTGAAAAACAGCAACAAGAGAAATTGTTGAAAATCAACTAGGTATTGAAAACGAAATTTAAAAAAATGCATTCCATTAGGTACCTACTTACATTTTTATATTTTTCTGAAAAACTAGTGAGAGCAAATTATTGAAACTTCTAGGATGAAAAAAGAAAAGTTAGAAGCTGACCATACTCAAATTTCAAATTGATTTAGTGAAAAACAGCAAAAAGAGAAATTCAAGAATATCAAATTTTAAAAACTAAACTAGCGAAAATATACTCTCTCACATTTTAATATTTTTCTGGAGAACCAATAAGAGGAAACTTTTGTGGAAACTTTCGAAACTTCTGACATAAAAAGAGGAGTCAACAGAGGAAATTTATGAATATCAACTTTTAAAAACTAAATAAGAGAAAATGAACCCTCTAACATTTTTATATTTTTTCTGGAAAACAAATAAACGGACATTTTTTGAACTTTTAGGATGAAAAGAGGAAAGTCAGGACCTCATCAGACAAATTAAAATTTCAAAGTGATTCAGTGAAATACAGCAACAAGAGAAATTCCTGAAAATAAACTTTCAAAAACTAATTAAGAGAAAATGCACCCTCTAACATTTAAATATTTTCCTGGAAAACCAATAAAGAGATATGGTTGAAACTTTTGGAATGAAAAGAGGAAAGTTAGAAGTTCATCATCCTAATATTTTAAAAAGAGCAACAAGAGAAATTCCTAAATATCAACTTTTAAAATTGAATTAAAGAAAATGCACCCTCTCACATTTTTATATTTTTCTGGAAAACAAATAAACGGAAATTTTCTGAACTTTTGGGATGAAAAGGGGGAAACAGGAGCTCATCACACTAAAAGTAAAATTTCAAATCAATTCAGTGAAATACAGCAACAAGAGAAATAAATCAACTTTTAAAAACTAAATTAAAGAAAATGCACCTTCTAACATTTTAATATTTTCCTAAAAAACCAATAAAAGGGAAATTTTTGAAACTTTTGGGATGAAAAGAGGAAAGTTAGAAACTCATCATCCTAATATTTTTAATTTGTTCAGTGAAAAAAAGAAGCAAGAGAAATTCATGAAAATCAACTTTTAAAAACTTATTTGAAGAAAATACATCCTCTCACATTTTAATATTTTTCCCAAGAACTAATGCAAGGAAATTTTCGAAACTTTTGGGATAGACAGGGGAAACTTAAAAGCTCATCATTCTATAATTTCAAATTGATTCAGTCAAAGACAACAACATTCCTGAATATCAATTTTTTAAAAACTAAATAAGAGAAAATGCCTCCTCTCCTATTTTGATATTTTTTCTGGAAAACGAATGAAAGGCAGGTAATAAAACTTTTGGGATAAAAATAGGAAAGTTAGGAGCTTATCATACTAAAATTTCAATTATTCAATTTGATTTAGGGAAAAACAGCAACAAGAGAAATTCCTGAAAATCAACTTTTAAAAACTAAATTAGAGAAAATGCACCCTCTCACCAGACATGACCTTCGAGAAAACTACAGATTTCTAAGCGATTGATTATAAAGAGACTACACGATCGAATCCAATGTGGCCCAAGTCATGTTTTAGATGTTAAATAAACATGATATGCAAATCAAAATTAAAGATAACTTTTATTTGAAATAATTACTAGGTTTATCAAAACCACGAAACTTGATAAAACGTGTACCTACTTGACATGGAATGTCATACAACAGAGTAGTCACCTTCATAGAAAGGACAAGCAATACATCTATATACTATATAAAAAATCAATGTTTGTTTACTTGCTTGCTGGATTTGCGCCTTATGCGCTCCTACACCACTTATCCGATTACGATAAAACTTTGGTAGGTTGTTATGGCCATCCCAAGGAAGGTTTGTGGATAGGTTACGCATCTCGGAAAAGAAATTAATTTTGAATTAATTATTAATTTAATTGTAAACAAACTCATTCACATTAGGCATTCCAGGTTAATGTCATAACCGATCCGCCATATTAGTTTGGGGGGCACACAAAAGCCAAACATAACCTGATTCAATGTTAAACCAAGAATTTTCAATCTATTTTGTGAAGATGCCTTCTATTTGCTGCGTTGTTAGGTGCTCTAGTAGAGCGGAAAGAGATAAAGAAAGGTTTTTCAGGATCCCAGCAGCATTAAGAGATCTAGGGAATCGTCTAAACGAGCTAAAAAAGGAACGACGAAATCTGTGGATTAAATGCCTCAAAAGGAGAGATTTAACTGAATCGTTTCTGAAAAATGCTCGTATTTGTTCAAAACATTTTGTTAATGGTATCTAAGTATTATGACTGTCTTGTTAAAATACAAAAACACATTTATATTGAAAAATTGGTTTGTTTCTACAAGTAATATTTACTTTTAATACCTTTTAGGTAGTCCAGCAGAACTTGAATAACCCTTTATATACGCCTTCAACTGCAAGCCTGTGTAGTAACTGTGGGTGTGGGTCAAATATTCGGATAAATTCAAAATTGAAACCTCTGGCAACTCATTGATACTTAAAGTAAACTCATTAGGTAGAAGTTTATAAGGATCTATATTGGCAATTATTTGTATTTTTTGGTCATACCGACATTTCACATCACTAGCTAACGATGAATAATAGTCAATGTTAGCCATTCTACCACAAAAACAACTTAAAACTTATTGAGAGAATTTAAGAACGCAAAAATTCGGAAACACAATCTCAAAGAACGGTGTAAATACTGATCTAGGCTTTGTTTGCCCCCCAGCGGACCTGTCAAAAGTCACGTGACCTGGAATGCCTAATTATATAACAACATAACCCAACTTTTTTTTGACAGCATGAAACAACGTTGCCACACTTCATTTATTTAGGCTTGCCATTCAACCGACGTAACTTTATTATTTTTTGAATTCGAGAACGGCTGGACCGATCTTGAATTTAATATCACGTATCTCTATATAAACCGAATTCGATTGACCTAGATTAGGTCGATTTGGGTTCAATTTTTCTGGTCTAGATCATTTTTTTGTTGATGAAGGTGCACTGATCCAACCTCAATCGGACACAGTGCGGTTCACTTAAATTGAACCAGATCGATCTAATCCGGTCAATCGAATTTGGCTATAGAGGGGAGTGATATAGGCTACTTTTTATCCCAAAAAAAAGTTCAGTTGCACGAAACTCTGATACACTGGAACGCCTATAAACAGCCCGGGGCGCTCTAGAGCAGCTCTGGAGTGTTTCTTAAAATGCGTCACTGAACTCACTGGCAAACGACTCTGGTTTGACCTGAATTTAATTCAGCTACTACACCTTTTCCATAAGTATTTCAGAATGCATCACTTGTATTTCAGATTCATCAATTCTAGTTCAGAATGCGTCAATTGTATTCCAGTTGTGTAATTTTAATTTCAGAAAGTGTTATTTGTATTTCAACTTTGTCAGTAGTAGTTCAGAAAACGTCATTTTTGTTTCAGATGGGTCAGTTTTATTTCAGAAAAAGTCATTTGTATTTCAGTTTGGTCACTTGTATTTCAGAAAATGTCATTTGTGTTTCAAATTATGTATTTGTAGATCAGAAAATGTAAATTGTATTTCAGAATTTGTCAAATGTATTTCAGATGTTATCAATGAAGTATATTGAATGAAATTTATAATGGTTCACCTATACGCACCTTGCTTGTGTTGATTTGAAAAAATCTGCTCTTATATCATTATTATCTGAAATACAACTGATGATTTCTGAAATACATCTGACAAATTCTAAAATATAATTCACGTTTTCTGAAATACAATCAATGAATCTGAAATAGAATTGATGCTTTCCGAAATAAAATTAATTAATTCGAAATACATTTGACGCTTTCTGAAATAAAATATACCAATCTGAAATACAATTGACTCTTTCCGAAATAAAATTAAATGAATGAACTGAAATACAATTAACGCTTTCCGAAATACATTTCACTAATCTAAATAGGCTCGTACAGCATATTTTTTTTATTACATATTCTAAAAGAGCGTATTGAGTTTAGCAGTTGTGCAAAATTTCATAATTTTCTGAGCCCTTGTTCATATTTAAATAAAATATCAAAATGATCCAAATTTGAAAGTTTTGAAACACACGGTGACGTCACTGCATCTCTCACGTTGGTCGTGTGACGGCCTTTAGCTCATCCTGACTCGAGAGATGACGTCATAGCATCTCTCAGCGATGAATTTCTGAGGCATAATGTTTTAATA